AATGAATTTCCACAGTTGTTAGATAAAGAGTTCGGGATAAGACGATGGCTCTTCTGCTGCCCTTTCTCTGCTCTACAATTGGCATAAACTCCTGGCAGATTGAAGGGAGAGAGCTGATTTAAGTTCTCCTAAAGCAGAGGAGTGCCTCACATATTCCCTGGTTCCACTGACTGTGCAATTTTCTGCCCCTCACTATCTCAAAGCCAACAATCTCATCTTTAGAGGGAGGATTTTTTTTCAGAGATTTGCACCTCTCTCCTTTACAATCACTTGTTCTTTCTCTCACTGAGAATATATTCATGTTGAAACTTCCATGCCCAGCTTTTCTCTAATTATACAATATAAAACAAAAATCCATGGCACTGAAGAGCTTGGACTTTCACCAAGAAGATAAACCATAAAAGGTATATGACGGTGTGTAACTGTAGACAAAGCTGATTGAGGGGCTGTGGTAGGAGGAGTGTATGAGCCCAACAATCCAAGACCAGCCTTGGCCACAGACAGAGCCTGTCTCACAAAAGAGAAGCCACACAGGTGACTTATTGCAAGGTAATAAATGCTAAGAGAAAATGGAAATTAAGGCATGGTGATAGGGTAGATATATTTATTCATTTCTTTTCCTGTCACTGTGATAGAACCCCCTGACAAAAGCACCTTAGAGGAGAAAGTCTCATCCACTTCAAAATTCCAGGTTATAGTCTGTCTTCTCAGAGAGATCAATGTGGCAGAAACTTGAAGCAGCTGGTTACATTATATCCATGTTCAAGAGCAGAGAGCAGAGAATGAATGCATGCCTGGTGGGCTCAACTCTCTTTCTCCCCTTATATAGAATCCAGATCCCAACCCCAAAGAATGGTACTGTCCACCTTTAGACTGACTCTTTCTACATCAATTAACATAATCAAGACAGTGCCCCACAGATGTAGCCAAAGGGGAACTTATCTAGACAATTCCCCACTAAGATTCTCCTTCTAGGTGATTCTAGACTGTATCAACTGGACAATGAAACCTAACCATCACAGTAGAATATATAGTAAAAGACAATATTGAATAGAAAGATCAGAGTCAGGCCTCTAGAGGGATTGATATTTGAATAAGGCCTTAAGGAAGTATACTCTAGCCAATTTCTTTCTTTTGTAGCCAAGATAAATATAGCAGAATGACTTTCTTGGACACAATGGACATAATGCATAGAATGGATGGGCATGGATATATATGCTTGTAATCCTAGTTTGGGGAGGTAGGGAAAGATAGATCAGGCATTCAAGTCCAGCCTCATAAAGAGTTTGAGGCTGTCATGTGCTAAATATGACCCTGTCTCAAACCAAGAAAACCACAGAACATATTTAGGAGATGTTGGTTGAGTGAATGAATGTGTGGATGAATGAAATGAATGAATGTGAATGCATCCAATCTTAAAGCATAGATTGATACTTCTGAATGTAAGTAAACTTGTTTGCATTATATAGACATAAGTTTCACGTTACATACCATGTTGAACTGAATATCTGGAATATGGCCAGGCATGGTATGCACACCTGTCATTTCATTATCCTGGAGGCTGAGGCAGGAAGATCATGAGTTCAAGGACAGGCTGGACAACACAATGAAGCCCTGTCCGAACAAATGAAAATCATGAAAAGAATGATACCTGAAAACTATTTGATATTAAGTATGGATTGGTTTAAAATATATTCACATATCATTGAAATAAGAGAAACATTTAGTTGTGTGGCACCAAACACATTCTCTGGGTCTCAGAGATATGTGTACTAAAAATGCCTGGCTTCACCTTGGGTAGAGTCACTAGATAAAAAGTACATAAACCTAATATCAAAAAAAAAAAGAAAGAAAGAAACAGTTTTTCAGCTGATGTATTTATGTGCACAGTATTCATAGTGATTTCGTGGTCTTGGTGCTGTCTTCAATTTCAAATGTCAACTATATAGTTATTCTCTTTGTGGGACTTAATCTTTTTTATGGTGGTAATGTGTTCCATAGCTCTCAGGAACCAAGATTGTCTCTGGCATTTATTGCTCATCTAGTGGGTGTAAATCAGAGTTCCTGGATATGTGTTTAACCTTGTTCTCTACAGTATTTAGAATGACCTCTGTTGTGCTACAAATGCAGTAGACTTCATGTGATAGTGCAAATGCTGAGAAAAATATTTTTAAAACATTCTTATGCTCATTTATCTAGTGAAATTACAGTTTTGGACAATCTGAGCTAATGCACATTTTAAAGTTCATAGGAAAAGCCCGTTTATACACAATTCATTTATCCTTTGGTCATTGCTTAGAAAACACATTCTTCTAAGTCATAGGCAGACAAATGTACTCAGGGTTCTATGGGGTGGTAAAGTATCAATGAAGAATAATTACCCACTTCAGTAGGAAATTATATAACACTTATTTTAATTGCCCTATCAATTTGAATCCATTTTCCATTTCTTTTAACAACTATTATAGTTCGTTTAACAAAACCATTGCATTTTTAATATAATTCCAGGGTGTAACTTGATAATATACTAAATCATCATTTTTCCATTATTTATATTGTCTTAAGAGCATATATTTAATTTGCTCTGTATTGATAATCAAAAGTATAATGAAATAGAGTTAATGTTCATAAAATCATTTTTCCATTATTATATATATAAAGTACCAAAAATTTTATGACTGCTTTACCAGTTATTCAATGTATTTTTTTTAATTTTTTTCTTAAGCCAAAAAGACATGAAACTCTGTGTTTAATTTCACTGGACTTTGAGTACTCTCTTTCTGAATCGTGTTCTCAGAGGGTCTATCAATAATTTCTTTTCAACTACTTTATAGTTGGTAGTTAATTCTGCTCTTGTTATATCCTTCCACAGTTAAATTAAAAAATAAGCATTTTGCAAGCCAGAGTAAAATTCACCTCTTAAAATAAAACGTCCATGTTTAAAATGATCTTATATTCTGCCATTCATTATAAAAAGTAGAGTAAAGGTATCCTTTTTTATTCTTAAGACTCTAAGCACAAAAATACAACTCTCACCTCAAAGGGGATGATAAATGGTTTGTTCTGTAGCCGAGTATGAGTGACCATGGCGTGGGAACACAGACTTAGGTTACCCCAAATTCCCTGTCCCAACATGGAAGCAATTTCATGGATTTTTTTAACAGAACAAAGAAAGTCAGAAATCAAGACCTTTTCAAATACATTGGTAGAAGCATGGGGAGGTGGGTTACAGTAAAGCAGGAAAGCTCTGTCGTAGTACTCAGGTGCAATCTGATGACCCTCTTAGCTTCGGAGTTGTTATAAGGTAGTGGTCTGCTAAGTTACCACATACCAAGCAAAAGCAAGTGTCTGTTTCTACATCCCAAATGGTTCACTTAATGGTCACAGAGCTGTCAGGTAAGGTTCAGAGGAAGACGATAAATGGCTATTGAGAGGGCAAAAGAGGACTCAAGATATTTTGGCTTCAGACTTGAATCATTCCAAATCCCTCCACAGTCACTGAAGGTTCTGTTCAAAGATTCAGCTTTTTTTCTGGGAACTTTTGCTCATAAGGCCGTACACAGACATGATTCACATTTTTTTGTCAATAGCTTCATTATCAGTTAGTGAATGAAAACAGAAATAACAAGGAAGGCCATAACTTTTCCTAGGTGTGGTGGAGGAGGAAGTTTATTTCAGATGAAAGGGAGAACAGAATCAGAGGCAGAGATATCTGGGAGTCCAGAGTGGACATGACCCTGAGCATGTGGGGTGAGGGGAGAGAGGGGAACCAGGTACAGCAGCCAGGGAGTCCAAAAGGGAAAGGGGAAACCAAAGTGGCTGGATTATATAGGGAAGGGCAGCTAGGGGAAGGGCAGCCCAGTCCCTGGGCTGGAAAAGTTTAGGATAGGGGGCAGGGTATGCCAGCCAGGAGGACCTTGTGACAGGTAGGGACTGGGGGATGCAGGGAGAACCTGGGTCAGCGTCGGCAGTGCTATGTCACATAGGCACCTTGCTCATTTGTGCCAGGTTCGAAACCTAACAGTTAGTTAATAACACTAGGGGCCAGGAATTTTAAAAATATGACAACATGGCCAAAGAAGAAATGTAAAAAGAGCATCTTTCATCATTTTTTCATCAGCTTTCTGAAATAGTGACAGAAATATCCAGTGTTTCAGTCTCAGTCTAGATGACACTCTTCTAACTATAATTTTCATCCTGAAATGTCAATCAAGAGTGTCCAGTTGCCCCCAAAAATGGTTGTGGTTCTTCTTTCTTTGATAGAATAACAGTGAACATGAAGATGTGCCCTGGGCTCCATACAATCAAGGACTGCTCCTGTGTTCCTCCTGACTCAACATATATATAAATATATAATATATTGTATATATAAAACTCTCACCTCAAAGGGGATAAGAAGTGGTTTATTCTGTAGTCAAGTATGTATGACAACAGCCTGGGAACACAGATTTAGGTTACCCCAAATTCCATGTTTCAAGGCGAAAGTAGGTTCATAAAGCTTATGTTAATAGAATGAAGAAAGACATGAATCAAGAGATTGTTCCAGTACATTAGTGGAAGCATCTCCTTCCTGTGCTAGAGTAGCAATGACCATGAGGATGAGCCCTGGGCTCTGTATAGTCAACAACTGCACCTGTGTTTCTCCTGCCTCAACACAAAAATACAACTCTTTCCTCACAGGGGATAAGAACGGTATCCTTTGCTGCATCCTTATTCTGACTAGTTACTTATCGGGAACTCATTAATTGGAAAAGAGTAGTGGTTAGGGGCCCAGTCTTCAAATAGAACAAAATTGAAATTCACATATGATTGACTAAATGATCTTTGCTTCAGTAGCACAAATCTATAAGCCCTTCAAATATTTAGATACCAAAGTTGATTTCAATAGAATCCTTGCTGCCATTTATTAGAAAAAAAAAAATGAACCAGTTAACAATATTTTCAGATGTTGTTACAGAGCTAATTGCATTTGCTTTTCATTTTCTGTTCTTTCCCCCTAGGTTTAGGCTTCAGTATTGCTGGAGGTGTGGGGAACCAGCACATTCCTGGAGACAACAGCATTTATGTAACCAAAATTATAGATGGTGGAGCTGCACAGAAGGATGGAAGGTTGCAAGTAGGAGACAGACTACTAATGGTGAGTGTGACCCCAGCAAAACTGGGCACAGATGTATAAGGTTCTTCTTTATCACTGTGTGACTGTCTTAGTTTGGAAAGCTATAACAAAATACTCTAGGCTAGACGGCTTAAACAGCAGAAATATATTTCCTCAGAATTCCAAACACTGTTATTTCATTTCTAGGAGGGCACTCCTCCAGGTTTGCAGATGGCCACCATCTGTTTGTATCTCACAGGCCCTTTCAATGGGCTTTTCCTGACAGAAAGATGCGTTCTTTTTTCTTCTCCTTGGCTAGCAGTCTTGTCAGATTAGGGCCCCGCCTTTGACACAGTTAACCTTCAGTACACACCTGTGCAGCAATCGAGGTCAGCAAGCAGCGGTGCTGAAGAAAGGAAACAGGAGCTTCAGAGAAAGAATGGAAAGCATGCTCAGACATTTGTTCAGTATCTAAAAGAAACCAAGATATAAAGATGGAAAAGGAAAAGCAGGCAGACTTCACAGTGCAGCATGATGGGGACTCCATGAGCTACTGCATCATGGGAAGGACTACTGGGAAGGATAAATGCATTTTCTCATTAAAAAGATAATTATCCCTCCCATCTCTTTAGCCTGTTCTCAAATGAATTGGTTTTCATGAGCAATGGTTTCCTGACTTGGTGAAGAAAGTAAAGAAAAGAAAAAGAAAACAAGAAAGAAACATATCAATATCAAACTTGCAACTCAGAGTTTCCAACTTCTTGACCGTCTAAAGTCATCATTATTTTCATTCTCAAGAAGCTATGAAACTTATTTCTTTGTATGCTTTGAAAATAAAAGTTGATCTTGTGATGTTGCCTTTTCAACCAAAAAAATTATTTAGGCACTTGAGATATGAATAACTTTTGTACACAATATAAATTTTATTACTTGAAATATTGACATTAGGATAAAGTGTGAAACCATCTTCTACATAGTCTACATTGAAAATGAAGCAGAAACTTTCATTTTCAAATAATGGTTGCCTTGGGAAAGGCTTCACCTTTGACATACAAAAAGTTTAGATGTAACTTTTCCAGCATTCCTTCACCTGATGCTATTATGAAATTATGCTAGATCTGTCTGCTGATTTCTTCAAGTCATGCCTAAATCTGTAGACTTATTTTCAAATTCTAAGAAAAACGGCCTCTACACCCAAAAGAATTTTTCAGATGCTATGGTATTTTTCCATAATAATTTTTATATTCATTGTAAATAACATGATTTCAAAAATAGCTATGACATAATTCTTCACTGTTTTAAGTTTTAAGGAATGAATGGTTTTAAGAAAATGAACCTTCAACAATGATAGGTCGCTTCTGTCCTATATAAGGAAAACCATAATTAGTGCTTCCGAGGCAACTAGCAAGCGGAATCTGGGAATGAGAGAAAATGGCTCACTTTACATTATTCTGAAAGAAGAAAAACTGACCCTGAGTTAGAAACAATAAACAAACAAAAAAATTAGTGAAGCTACCCTGAACACCAATTATTTTACTTCAGCCTCCAAAATATCTGTTACTGTTCTCCTGTCACTCTGGTTAGCCCCTACTAATAATATCTATTTTTCCTGCTCTTCCTGTTTCTCCCCCAAAAGGAAGTGCACATGACTTAGACTCTGTGACTTACCAGCTGCAGCACACTGCACATTTTTCTCTAAATACGCCATTCTTTCTGAAGCTGTTTATCCTCGTTCCTTCTTTCAGTCCTTAGGAAAACATCCCCCAATATGTTATCCACTCAGAGTGTTTTAAGTACTGGCCCCAAAAAGAAACTCCATGTTGGGCTATGGTTCAATCAAAGAGCTTGCTTAGCAAAATCCTGAGAATGGCAACAAATAAAAATTAGTTTATATTAAACTCCTGTTCATTATCTTAGACTTTTGTGGCTACATGGCCACAATTCTATAAGTCTCCAATCACTTCCCCTAAGTGAGAATGCAGCCTTGCAAGAGCGCACATTTTTTATTTACTTTTTAAAATTCTTGGTACAATAGAAAAATAATAATCTACTAAAACTTAATGACATTTATTCTTTCTTGTTTGTTTGTTTTGTTTTTCTGTTTTTCAAGACAGGTTTCTCTGTATAGTTTTGCGCCTTTCCTGGATCTCGCTCTGTAGACCAGGCTGGCCTTGAACTCACAAAGATCCACCTGCCTCTGCCTCCGAGTTTTGGGATTAAAGGCGTGCGCCACCACCACCGCCCGGCTTATACTTTTTTAATTTAAGAAATTTTTCATTCATTTTACATACCAACCACAGATCCCCCTCTCATCCCTTGTCCCACTGGAAGCAAGCATAGTCTTAATAATACCACCTTTGGCTTCACAGCTATGTTGACTGCATGTTGGGCATCTCCTGATTCATAGAATACAGAATGCGCATTTCCTTGCCAGGAAGTTTTTACGTTTCAGAATTTAAATCTTAAATGTCATCTTTGTTTGGAACCTCAGAATCTCACAGAATGGCAACTGTGTGAAGTGATATTTCACTTTTGATAAGGGCCCCTAAGAGTGGAGAATTTAATACTTGCCCAAAAATACCTACCAGATTATAACCACCATTGTATATTTTTTCTCATTACATTGAAATTTATTTTCTATAATTTTCTCCCTTTACCCATAGTCCCCCCCATAAAAATGGCAAGGATTAGTCCCTCTTTCATATATATCTACAAGTTTGTATTGCCATATTTTCACTACCCAGTCTTTTAAGATGTTTGACACATTCTTTTCTCATTTTTGAAGTAGATGTTATCACACATTCATTTATACTCTTTATGAATAAATTTCACTTAAAATTCCTTCCTATTTTCTTCTCCACTTTTGAAGATCTGAGCTTTGCACAAATTATGCTAAAGTAAGAATTCTACTGTCCCCTTTGCAACAAATCTCCAGTGTCTAAAATGAGGTGATATGACCTGCCACGCTCATGTTTCATGGTCGTCACCCAAATACTTGGTATAGATTGTGTTTCTCCATTTAATATTTTTTAATGTCTTTTGCTACAATTATTAGATTCTTTTGTCTGTTCAGTTGAATGCCAGTGACAGATGTTTGTGGATAATACTGGTAACTACTGGTAAAGTCTAAGTGAAGGGATTACTACTCAGTCTTGAATATCTTGAGACAGATGGTCGAAAGTTGGGAACATTGAAGTTTTGGCTTCTTTTTAAAAAAAAAAAAATCTTTTACATATTTCCATACACTGTTTCTTCTTAAGCCTTAGCAAGATGCTCCTCGGAGCCAAATATTTTATAGAAATGTGATCGTTTTTGCCTTTTCTGTATAATACCAGAGACTTTAAATCTGGGATCATTTATCATTTTTACAGCAGTAACATTAGTTGTTGGTTGTCAAGCTCCTTGCCATGTTATAATTTAAGGTTTAAAATCTTACACTTTCCCCCTTATAACCTCTGCTTGACATTTAAAGGAAAAATTGTCAGTAAGAGAATTTATACACTTTTGCAGAGAATGAATTCATCTTCTTCCTTAAAAGGGAAGTAGTAAACGGAGGGAAGGATGACAAAGGCATCGAAGTCAAGTGGGAAAATGCTGGGACCAGACTCTGCAGAACTCTGTCTAGTCACAGGCACACCCACTAATTCTACCAAATCACTTTAGGCAAGCCAAGTACATCTGTGGTTTTGTTGTTGTTGTTGTTGTTGTTTGGTCTCTTTACCATAGTATCATTACCTTAGATTGGCATTTCCCAGTATGTTTTTAAATGCTAGTCTTGTCCCTTTGTTATTTTAAAGGAATCTAAAACCAATATAGGTTCAGAAATTCTGAAATGTGTGTGTGACCCTCCTCAAGGAACATATAAAAACCATATTAAAGATCTGTGAAGTTCTCTAATAAGGAAATGTTTTCATTTACTCTATAATTTTCAACCTCTTATCATGGAATACTTTTTGTTAAAATGATACTTATAAAACAGTTACAACTAGAGTTCAGTGGAGCATACTCTGGAATATGTTATGAGTAAGAGCCCCGTAGTTTTATTCTTAAGCTAAGGATAAAGTAAAGATAGCAAACTGGTTAGGGGAATGGGACAAGGAACAATACTGTTTTTCTGAGTAATTACTGGTTGTGAGGACTTAAACTGATTAACTTTTGGTGGCTGTCTGGTTTTATTCAAACATCAGTAACAAAAGGTATCATATCAAAGACAATGCAAATATATTGAAATTATCTGAATGAGAAACAGGACATTCACAGGTGGTGGGAGTCCACCTTAGATGAGACCATGAACTGTAGTCTTCCACCAGCATGCCACTTCCATATTTCCACAGCTAAAACTGTGCATAGAGAAACTCACATACTCCTTATGCTTGCGCTTAGGAGGTACTCAGGGCACTTGCCACACTATTCTCAGTTGGAGTTCAGAGAATTCCCAACACTGTGTAACTAGCCAATTGTGAGATTAGATAAAGACCTGCAGAGTGACGGCCGGAAGTCCAACTCCCTTCACCAGTTTATTTGATGGCTCTGGTTCTCAGTCCCATTTGTACCCTAGAATCTCATGGTTGGCTTTTGAACATGATGAATACCCCATTCTCAATCAATCCCAAATATGCAAATCAGAACCTTGAGGTAGGAGTCATATTCATTTGGGTTTTAGTTTCCAAATGATTCTCTCATGGGACCTAGGCAAGGACCAACATGACCTTGACCTAATACTACAGGAGCCATCTCCTCTGATGTCACTGCTTTCCTGAGGGCAGCCCTGGTGCTGGTGGTCACATTGCAGAGCAGTGCTATTACTGAGTAATCTCCTGCAGCCACCTGGAAGGCATCTGGAGTAGTTCACCCCTCACATTCTGTCCGCTACAGTTAAGCACTTTCAAAAGCAAGAAAAATCTGGATAATTACTACTTGGGCTCTCTTCTAGTTTATCTCAAATGCAATAAATTATAAGTCAACACAACTGCATTGATTTAGTTTATTCAAGGATTAAATCTTTCCTGTTGATTTCTTTTTATTTTGCTTATAAACAGGGT